AAATGCTCCTTACTGGAAGAGCAGCAGTGCAGCTGCATCCAAAGGCATTAGGTAATGGGGTTAATAATGTGATGGTGCTGATGATGACATGCTCTGCTAATACTGCTTTACACACATTTAAAAATACAGATTGGATTCTAATATTCTACAGCATCACTTAGTATCGATTGGCTCTGAAGCCACAACAGCATTTATCTCTCATTACAGCAAAAAGTGACAAGTTATTGAAAAGTATAAACCTCCAGCTCACCGAAAGCTCAACTAAATCTTATATTGAGGCATAAAACTGAAGAGGGTTTAATGATTCCCAAAGTGTTTTGTTGTTTGAACGCCAATGAATACTTTTCCAGTATTTAATTTTGTTTAATTGTATGAATTATTTTAGTTGTGTTGACCTATCATAGAAACCAGTTTCCTGTTGTATTAAATATGAGAAAAAGTTTAAGTTTTTATTGGACTGTCTGACATAAAATTGTTGCTTGTTTGAAACTTTGTGTTTTTGTTGCTTCCTGTGCATAAAACATTTTACTGATAAACGTGTGGATGGAAATAAGGAGCAATAAATGACTATTACTCTGCTCATACAATCTCCTTTCACATTTATATTCATTCTCAGACATTTTTTCTAATATCAGCCATTTTCCCCCATTTTCTGCCATTTCCATCTTGATCTGCTCTTTTTAGCCTTTCTGTGATTTCCTTTTTTTTCGAAGCCAGAAGCAGCGGGAATGACACCAGGTGATCGACTGCCATCATTCCAACCTCTGCAAACTCACATTCTCTGAAATAGCTGGCATAGAATTGCATCTGGAAAGCTAATAGGTTTTTGTCACATCAAGCAATCCGATACGGGAAGCTTCAACAAAGAAACCTCCCGACAACAATGTTTCCTTATCGGAGGGATTTGTTTATTATGCTGAAATGTTTGCAGTGGAAATGAAATAAGAGTTCATGTTCACAGCTGAGGCTTGGTTTGGGGGTCTAAAAGCAAATGAACGTTAGATAGAACCAAAACGTATTAAAGTAAAATATATGACTTTCAATCTGGAAATAGTTTTCCTTCTTTTAGTGGAAAATATTAAAAACCGACATATCTTTAATCAAAGTCGCCAGCTTTTTCCCCAAACCCAAAGAGTTACTGTCTATGAAGAAATATTAAAATATCATGCACACAGTGGCCAACTGCAAGGTGCATCACTCTTCTCTGTCATCTTATTCCTTCAGTGCAAATTATTTCCCTCGCAGGATGTATGCAGGTGAAATAATTTAACACATTAAAATCCTTTCGCATTTCCAACTTCTCAGGTTTTCATGGAGTTTGTCGATAAACTGTATGATTATTGATCCCTGAAAATGCTAAAAAAAAGAAAAGTAAAAAGCAAACACTGAAGTTTCAGAGTATTTTGTTTTAAATATGAATGTGATGAGATTTACAATAATCAACATCACTTAAAAATAAGAAGACACCAAAAACAAAGAGGATAAAGACAAACAGAATAAAAACTCTGTGTGTGGATGACTATCGCGATAAAAACTCCACAATAACTCTTTTACTGTTTGACTGAGAAGATGTGAACAGTCAGATTTATTGCATAGATCAACTATGTCTAAATGTGACGGTGAAGTAAATCCTTTAAAACAAAACAAACAATAGCAGATGGAGCCTGATATAGAAGTGATTACTAATGCAGCTGCAGGCAGCAGGCAACAGAAACGGAGGGAAAGCGCCTCGGATCCCTCCTCACAAACTGCTTCTGCATCAGCCGGTGCAGCTGAGAAGATGCTCTGAATCAAAGGGCATCATTATTTATTGCTTTTTCCCAGTTTGGAATGAATAATGAGGAATAATGAATCAAGTGTGTCCTCTGTGTTCCCCAGCTTCTCCTCAGCCCATGTTTTAAATAGCTTCTGTAGAAATAGCTACTGAGGAGACAAACTGCTCTGACAGAGCCTGCTGAAGGTGTGTGTGTGTGTGTGTGTGTGTGTGTGTGTGTGTGTGTGTGTGTGTGTGTGTGTGTGTGTGTGTGTGCATGTGTGTGTGCATGACTTTGTGTTTCAGTCTTTATACCAGCTCATACATATTGGTATGAGCATGTGTAAATTCATCCGACTTGAAGCCTGATCTTGTGACTTTGGCTTCATCCATAATTAAATTTGTATAAATCAGGCTGCCAGTCACTGCTGTAATGTGGAGCCAAAAACCCTTTAATGACTGCAGAGCTATTCTGAGGTTCGGACCTGACAGGTACACACTTTCATCACCCAAACTCATCGTTATGCCTCCTCTCAGCCCTTCTCTCTATTTTCTGCCCTTAATATTTTCTCTTTATTTTTAGATGCTTACATGGAATTAAAGGTTGTCAGGAAATGTTTTTTACTATTATTTCGCAAAGTTGTAGAAAACATCAATCTATGGATTATATGCTCTTCTTCATCTGATTGGTCACATTCAGATAAAAGATGTAACTTGCTAAGTCTTCCTGTTGGATCTGAATAAGTCCTGGTTTTTAATGGAGATTAATCAAACTTTGTTTGGAAGGGGTTCTAAGAACTTAATGAGGGTGAAGCTGTGAAGATAAGTGGCCACTTAGGAGTAGAGATGAAAACAAAAGTTATTTATTGTAGAAAATATTTTGTATAGCACCATAATTCATGTGTCCCCATATTTGTCCTGTCCTTCGTTAGTTTGAGGCCTAAATCCAGGAATGACGCAGGAGAGCAGACCGACTGCAGCTGTGAAGACGGACAGACTGAGTTAAAACAATGAAGCTGCTCTACAGGCAAACGTTCAGCTTACATCACTCAGGCAGATTGTTGCACAGTATTTCCAGGATGGCAGAACCTCCAACAGGATGCTGCAGTTGGAAGCCACAACGCAACATGTTGTTATGAAATTCGTCTGGATTGAAATCATTTTCAATCCTGTGAAGGAGGGAAAGTAAAGCTGTACCCCTCCATCTGACATAGACACAATGTTGCAACTTCAATGTTAAAAAATGTCCAAAATTATGAAAATTATGCCTGTGAGCTGCTGGTAACTATAATTTCCTGAGGGAGTCTTCCCAAGGGATCAATAAAGTCAAGTCTAAGTCTAAGTCTATATTTTCTTTATTTTTGAGCTACCATGGCAAATTTCTATTAGCATATTTTTCAGCATAATCCAAAATGACATAAAGCAGATTTTAAAAGTCGAAGCGGCGTTAGGAGATGTAGGTTTTCTTCATAAACTGGTCATTAAATGATCTGACATTCTGCATAACTCTGCAAAAGTTGTATTTTTATTTTACTCTAAAATATTTACCACCATCTGCATATTAAAATATAGAGAAGAGTTCTTCAGTTCCACAATGATGTTATTTTACTAGTCTGACCTAGATAAAGTTGTGCAAAGAAAATCAGATCAGAATGCAGTCCATTAAGAGCAGGAGTTGGTTTTATAGATAAAAGTATCAGACACAAATGAGAATGAAGAAACTGAAAAAAAGACTAAATGTACTTCTTTGGAAATGTCACAAAAATATTAATGCATTCCTTTCCCACAGGGTTTTGGTGATGTGTCACTGTCTTCAGTAATTCTTTAGCTGAGAGCTCTGACTACTGCTTTTTCATCAACACTAACAAGTATTCCTTTCTTTAAAAGCTAAAAGCCCACATATAATACGCCAACAGGAAATGTTTTGTCCAAAGTCACTGAGCCGGACTGAGCCTTGCAGAAGTCTTTTTCTTTTCCCTTTTCATCTTTCTTATTTGGCAGCACACGTCACATTCACTCTGTTCAGATGACCTACTCCAGTCCGCTTTATCCACCCTGGAGCCAGAAGAATGGGAAGTTGCTGGAGTGCAGGTGCATGCGACCTGATGTCCTTAAAAAAATGTCACGTCTAATGGCTTCCCATCAATCATTCTCAAAGCAGGGCACCTTGTTAAAATTTGCATATTAATTCAAAAAACATTGTCACAAAGGAAAAACAGAATATTCAAATAAGCTAGGCTTCAAGTAGGGAGATGGGTCTGTTTTAGATTACTGCAGTTCATGCATAAGTCGCTTCAGAAAGCCGTGAGTCTCCAAGCAGCAGGTTTCTTCTTCTGCATCTGTCTCAATCACATGGAGAAGGTGATAAGTGTGAAATGCGTCACTCAGAGTAATTTCCTAAAACAATGCAGATGAGCATCGCTGATGACGTGGTGTGACTCCACTGTGTGCATAAAAGTGTGCATTCTTTAGAGATAATGGAGCTGCAGTCAGACTTTGGTTTTCTAACTTTGACACATGATGATTAGCAAACACTGACAGTGAAAAAGAAAAATTCATCAAACTAATATCTAAGCTGTGCTTGATGAGCTGATCATCAAGCACCACTTCATTATTTTCTTTGTGATGCTTGGCTGGAATGAATGACCCATATTTTATATATGGATCTAGTTATGACTTACTTAAAATAGGGCCATTTATGTAATGCCAAATGTATGATAGCGAATAAAAAAAGTGACGGAAACACACAAAAAATAACACATTATTTAGCTCCTTTTGAATCAAATTAAGCTTCCAAGCAGATCCATGTTTTCATTGACGCCATTGATGCAAAACACACAGATCTGTTAAAGGACAATGCCTTTTGATGGACGACTTTTTCCACGTTTTTCCTCAAATTGGCTTCCCAGTCAAACCGGCCAGGAAGGGGAAGATTAACTCCACTAGGTCTGACAGCGACCTCATGTGGCCACAAGATAAACTACAACTGAAGCATCAGATTTAAAAGATTACCACAAAAAATGCTGACATACGACAACATAAGGTTTTAATTTATTTTACAAAGTAATTTTATGTACTTACCTATAAGGGCCTTTTTTGGTTATTCTATTGATAATGATCATCTTTGTGCCTGTTGATATATTTGTTTTTATGTTAGATAATAATTTCTTATCAAACATCTGATTCAGAATGAAATCAAATAATGTATAATTTATTCTAATGCTGCATTGTAACTGATTGTACATAATTAATTTTGTTCATTTAATTGTCCACTGCTTGTCAAGGTGGAGCCATGAATCCAAAACCAACGTGTTGTTACCTGTAAAGGTTATAACAAAAACATTTTTAACAAAAAACATTCATAAAAAACAGAACAAATCTCAAGTGTGGTCAGAATTATCTGTTGAAATCTTATAAAACTTAATATTTTCATGGATATTACCATGAAAACTGCTCATAATTGTTGATTTCCAAAACAACAAAGACCTTCATTGTGACATTTAAAACCTAGAAATGATACTAAATTGTAATATATAATAATATGTAATAACGTCAGTAAGTTATGATTACAACTGAACTGGGGGATAAGATCAGAGTCAAGGAACATTTGAACAAAAATGATTTTAAAAAGTGTGCGATGAAACAAAACAAATCAAACTCTGGAAGAGATTAATGTATTAAAAGAACTGAAAATTATTTTAATCAAAACCGGGAAAGATGACAGAATCAAACAAACTATAGATAGTGATAAAACCTGTTAAAATTGTTCCCAATTCCTGACTGTCTGCTTTGAATCTTCTTCATACAATAAAACACAGAAAATGCACATGCTTAGGAGAGCAGATTGTTGTTTCTGTCTTCCAGAAATGTTGATTTTTGTGCCAATATGAGCGCTAACCAAAACCAGAGGAGAATGTCTCTTTGGCCTTTGTTCCAGCGCCACCCTGTGGCTGGTTATGTTCCTGTTGAGCAAACACAAAACAGCATGCAGGTTGGTTTTCACTAAGCAACCAGTCACCCATAACAAGTTAATGTACAAACTGTAAGTACAGGATCCAGAAACAAGCAAAGAGAAGGATGCATGACCTGATTTCACACACAGGTTCTTTAAAGAGCTCATAAAACCCATAATGTGTTTGTTGCAGGGATCTCTTCCACCGCAGAGCAACCTGGCAGCTGAGGATGGAATGGGTAATGCCACTGCTCTGATCTGATCTGCCTCCTCAGTCTGCAGACAAACCCAGTATGGAGCACTGGGCTGCATTTAGGACAGGAGGCACACAGACCACAGGCACTGCTGTGTGCACAGAGTGCAGAGAAACAGTCATGAAGGAACAAATATACAAAAAAATGAAATGGCATCAAGCACAGAAAAAGGCAACAATGTCTTATTTACGAAATTAAATACATGAAACTGGTTTATTTGACAATGAACTCTACTGTAGTCGAATACTGTACACTGATACACTATATTATTAATTATTACATGGGTCATGATGTTTTACAAACGCTAAACTCGGAAAACTGATCGTAGTAATGGAACAAAAAGGATTATTATAGTCCAAACGAACAGATTTGGCGGTTGGTTTTCTTACCGCACAGGGATGCGATGGGATTATGGAAAGGCCTGGAAACAGAGGACGCGCTTTATTCTGCTGACGGGTTGCCAAATCTGCTCTTCTTGTCTTTCTTACGATCCCCACACGTAATATCGAGCTTGTAGAGTGAATACTTCGGGAGTTGGAATTAAACGACTAATCACGCAAAACTACAGAAAATATGTAAATATTAATAATTGTAAAGGGTTACGCAAATAAAATATGGCTCACATTTTAATTGCAAACAAAGAAATCCATGTAATATATTTTTAAGTAAGAGGAAAATAAATGTAAGGTTATCTTTATCGATATTTGGGGCATCGCATAATCTTTCCATACTAAGAAAAGGAAAATAAAAGCCATTTTCTTCCAAAGCAGCAGATGTTATTTGCTTTTGCCTGAAATGGCATTTTTTACGGACCTGGCAACTTCCGTATCCGTCTCTCCGCTCGACGTAATTTCAAAGCAACATGGCGGACGAAGTTGAGCAGGTTTGTGCAGCTGTGTAGAATTAAGCCGAAATCTTTGTTATGTCATTGGTGTATCGATTTTGTGTAAAGTATTAGTGATATAATCAGCCTTCTGTTTGCGTTTCTACGCTTAGTGTGGGCTTTTGGGTTTAAAATACCATTACGAGCCTGTTCGGGCCTGTGAAACCAGGCTAATTCAGCTAGCCGAATTAGCCTGACTGGCAGCATAGAAAGCTGAAAAGAATATCATATAAACGTGATTTGTTGTTTTTTGTTACTCTCTACAAATAAAGTACATGACTGCTAGAAGTAATTAATTTCACGTGCTCGTCCTGGGTGATGAATGCCAGGTAATGTAACTTTTACGGCACATGTTTTGATACGTTTTAAGAACAAAAAGCTTCTAATTATTTTTTGTCGCAGTGTGATTGTTGAGCCAGAATGCTGTGCTCTGCTTTGGTGTTTTATAGCATTAAGGGGTCATAAATCTTAATCCTTGTTACTGACCATCATCAGGGGAGATAGTAGATCAGTGCTGTCTGAAATTGCTACTTTTTAAAACATGACCATCAGTTTTGCTTGTGCACATTCAGCTAATAAACCAATCAGGCTCATCAGTGAGAGGCAATAGTGCAACACTGCATTGTTCTGGACGGCTGCACCATTATGGCGGAAAAATCATTACTTTGGTTATTATAAAAGCTTCTGATTGTTTCACCTTTATTTTACTCAGTTGGAAAATATACAGTTTTTATTTAACTTAAAGGACAAAATAAGAATATACAATGTACATGTATATACATGTAAGCCTCAAATTAAATTAACAGATTTGTTGCATTGCATATGAAATGGTGGCATAAGCATCCAATCAACAGATGGCATCGCCCTCAAGTCGGAGCTCTGTTGTCTGTTGACTGTCAATAAAGTCCACCACAACCAAAATGATAATAAATAACGAGTGAACAGGTTTGATCCCTGAAGTCCTGTAAGTCTGTCATTTGTCAGGATTTTAAGCTGCTTCTCATTGGTTTCTGAGTGGCAGAGCAGAGGTTCTGTTTGAAAACAGAAATAACTGTCTGTGTTCTGCAGCAACCAACTACCAACACAGTCGAGGAGCCGCTTGACCTGATCAGGCTCAGTTTGGACGAGCGGATCTATGTCAAGATGAGGAACGACCGGGAGCTCCGGGGCCGTCTGCATGTAAGCTACACTCACTGGATCAGGTGATCCACTTCTGTCAGTTTAGATCTTTGACCTCACTCGCGTGTTTCATGTTGTCCCAGGCATATGATCAGCACCTGAACATGATCCTGGGGGATGTGGAGGAGACGGTGACGACTGTGGAGATTGATGAGGAGACGTATGAGGAACTCTACAAGGTAACGTACCCGTTTTCCTTTTGTTCTCTTTTTTTCTACACTTGTATTCAGATTTATGCAGTCTTCTTTAGTTCACCTCTCTATCAGCTACAGTGTTAGGAACTCAGTGTGTTTTAAACTGCTTTGGGTGTTTTGATGCTGCTTTCTTTCCCATCATCACTTTTGTCAACAACATTCTCTGTAAGTTTAGCATCACAGCTACTAAAATATACAGTTGGTCAATCAAGACCACTTTGTTTATATGTATGACATATGCATTCAAACTTTGATTGTGTGGTTCTTTCAATTTAGGGTGTGATGTCATATTTTTATACCTGCAACCTATTGTCATTTTTTTTGTACAATACAATATATTTCACAGCTCAACTTCACTTCTTTAGTCCTTTAAGTATCTTAACTGACGCCCTGAAGGTCAGATTTTTGTGTTTAAAACATAATGGGATCCAGCTGCCATCTGCAGAGATCCGTTACGTTTTGAATAAGATAGCATAACAGTTTAGAAACTTTAATCTCTACTAAAAAAGCAGAGTATATCAGCAGAAATGTGTTGAATGTGGTTCCAGGAGATGACACAACCTCCTGGTTAAATATGTTTCATAACTATGTTTGCAGACTTAAGTTAAAAATACAAGATTACAGTTTCATATGACTGTTTTTCATGCTGCTTTTCAGTCTACAAAGAGGAACATCCCCATGCTGTTTGTCAGAGGTGACGGCGTGGTTCTTGTAGCTCCGCCCCTCAGGGTGGGCTGAAACCAGACTTGATGGACGGCCGGTTTGTTGTCTCCATGTCTGCTGTAAAGTGTTGCCCACTTTCTTTATTTCTGCCTTGATTATACTTCTAATTTCACGAGTAAAACTTCTCCCACTCTGTTAAGTTCCCTGCAAACACATTTTTGAGTGAAGAAATGGAGCAAGATAAGAATCGTAGCATTTTTTTGTTTTATTTTGTGTAGTTGTTGAACTAGTCGGTGGACACTTCATTTGACTTTGCTCAGGATATAAATATTTTCAGATTTGATGAAATTGTTAGTTTTGCATTCTGTACTTGTGTCACGAAATGTCTCATTGTGATTTCAGGTTTTATTTTTGAAGTATTAGCAGGTATGAGTTTTTTTTTATTATGATTCATTAAAATACCAGTCATTTTGTAGATGCGTCTCAGAAGTACATTATGTCACAAATATTAAGTCTGAAAGGTTTAATTTAACCATTTTTATCCCTATTTGCATTTCTGTGTTTAAATCATCCATTTGTAAACATTTTTCAGTTGAACAATTAAAAAATAAAAACAATTAGTGTTGTTTTTAATTGCTGGTACTAAGCATGCAAATTACAATAACAGCAGCAGATGAGCTGGAAACATAAAGAGTTAAGTTTCTTGCAATTTTCTTTCCTCAGATGAAAGTGAGTTTGTACATTTTCACATGTGAACGTGGGAAATTGCTGTGTTGTTGCATTTCAACCACAAGATGGCAGTATACCTCCTATGAACAACCCGGTGGTTTCTGGGAATAGTCTGTAAAATCTCTTGAGATTTAACTTGACACACAGATATAACAGATCCTGTTTCAACAGAAATATTTCTGATAAACTTCTTGAGGTATTTAGGGGCATTATTTACCCAATTGGTTTATTGTTCTTTCTTACTGAAATCAGTTGTTGATCCAACCATCTGGAAAACATTTAGAAGAATTTTGAGTTATTTTAAATTCTCTGCACACAGTTTATGTTTACAAAAGGCTGTAGAGTTCTAACGATATTCAGATGAAAATGTCTGAAAGCAAAATTAAAATGACTGAATAATGAAATACAAGGATATATTGTCCAACCATTCCAATTAAAGTGTTTGACAAACAGCATAGATCAAATTCAATAACTATCAGGATATAGTTTGTGAGATTGAATTGATTTAATGGACATTAAGAATTAATTGCATGTTAATTGTACAGTCATTTACAAAAATTGCCAAATTCTAAGAATTGTGAAACATTAAGAACTAGAAAACAGTTGGCTAGCAATCTATAAATGGATAAATTATTTGTTCAGCCTAAGTTTGTGTTCAATAAACATGATGATGCAGTATTGATGGGAATCAGCTTAGTGGAAGCTAACGTCAACAGGCTGCTGTGTTGATGGGATGCCTAATGTTCTTAATCCTATATTTTAGTTATTAGAGGATAGTTTTTGGTTACTTAGTTTGAAGTCCATTGTCAATAGAGGAGCCATGTTGGGACAACTTCCTGAAGGCGATGTTTCAGAAAAACCAGCAGATCTTAAAGAGACAGAGGCCAATTTCAAGCCATCAAATTACAAAGACAGTTTTCTTTCAAGTCATATTAGATATCACATTTTTATAGCAACTGAGGAAAACATGGTAACTTAATTATGGCATAAAATTGAAACAACTGAAGTTAACATAATACTTGATTGTACCATAAAAAATGGAAAACACATAATACTGCTCATTTGGTAAATCAGTCAAATTGTTTAACTTTTCATTTTGCTCTTAATAAAAATGATTTTAAATCTATATTGGCTTATAAAAATGACGCAACTCTAAGCAAGTGAGAGTTCAGTCATAATATTTCTGTTTTAATCTTCAAGAAGATTAAGATTTGAATGTCGTGAAAATGAAGGACATGTTGAGCTTTGATGGCCTCTAAACCTGCTGAACAGACATTCATCTCAACACTCACCTCTGTGAGGTTCAAGTGTTTTATTGACTCGATTCACTTGTTTTTAGAAGCGATCCCCTGGCTTCTCCACCAGCAGCCAGCACACACACACACACACACACACACACACACACACACACACACACACACACACACACACACACACATGAAACCTGAAGATTAACACTGTTTACACTGTAGCTCTGCCTTTGCAGCGATCGCTCAGCATGGAGGCAAACTCTGAAAATACTTGAGTTGCAGTTTCAGGTTCTAACACATTGAGCACAATGTTTTACTGATCACCTTATATTAGAATAAGAGCTTTAGACTATTAGAATAATCAAGTAAAACCTAAACGATTCCCTGCTCCCACATCCCACATACTACACAGAGTATTGGTACTCTGAAAAACAGCTGAAAAACTGCTCTGTTTTCAGCTCTTCCTCCAGAGAAAATCTTATTTTAATGCCATTCTTCATCTGACTCAGGAGTTCTTTCTATTTCCTAACTTATTCCTGTG